AACTCAGGCAAAGCTAGCTTGCTTTTTGCTAGCTCTGGATCCTGCATCTGGCTCATCATCCACCCAGCCTCGGGTTCTTTGGACTTGAGCCGGAGGCCTGCTCTATAGCCTGCTAATACTGAGAGTCATCAGAAGCCTGCTGCCTGCCTGCTTGCCTGCCATTTGACCTGCTGATCTTAGATTCATCCACCTGACATCTGACCCATAGACTTGAGACTTACCTACCTCTATGACTGTGGAAGCAATTTTCCTGAAAGAAACCTCTCTTTATATATACATACATATATTAGCTTCACTGGTTTGTTTTCTCTAGAGAATCCAGTCTAAGACAGGTGTTAAACAAGGAGCCCTGGTAGTGCTGTGGGTTAGGTACTAGTTGCTAACTGTATGGCTGGTGTTTCACTCACCAGTCACTCTGTGGGAGAGAGATCAGGCTTTCTGCTCCTGCAAAGACTTCATTTTGGGAGCCCTATATTTAAGGTCACTATGAGTTGGAATTGACTTGGTGACGGTGGTTTTAGTTTTTTGGCAGGGAGGATTGTTATCTGAAAAGGTACTTTATAACCAGTGCCCCACTCCACAGATATAGGAACCGAGACAGTCTCAACACAGGCCAGACTTCCTTTTCCAGCCACATTTCACCCTTTACAGTTACGGGCAGGACGCTGAGGGATCTGACAGCCTTCAGTGTTCTTGGTTCCCAAACACCAGGTCTTTTAATTGATCCTGTTTCAGGTGCCTGGAGGCTTTTCCAATCCAGAACAAAGTCCCACAATAAAATCAAGGATGGGCTAGAATGAGGAGGGTATCTTATCAGTAAAGTGAGGAATAGGAGATTTGAAAGGAGAACTGAAGAGAAGACAATAGGTCTGGCATTTCTACACAGAGGTGCATTTTCAGGCAGATCAATTCTAGAAAGTGCATACATCAAATCTGCACATAAATTCCTTAAAACTGTCCATGCCCAGAGAGCAGGACCCTACCCAGAGAAGCAGTGATGCCTGAGATGGAGGCAGAGACGATGACGTGGAGAGATGGAGCAGCTGGGGCCTTTAGACCCAGAGAGGGAGAGGGGCTGTGTGCTGACAAGCGGTGGGGGCAGGCTTGCAGTGTATATCCTTTGGTTGGTTGATGATGCATGGAGGTGATTGTAACCATGGCAATGAAATGATATACAACAGGATGAATGTAAAACTAATGTTCTCCCATGTAAA